CTCACAATTGGAACAACGCAACGGTCGCCCGTCAGAATGAATCAAAGTGGACAAAACGTATAATATAGTGGAGACCACGACTGCACAACCAGTGTTGGTAGACCCCAGAAACTTTGGCTGGACGATGTCAAAGAAACGGTTGATAGAGTTGGCATAAAATAGCACAAAACAAAGAAGCATGGGAACTGGCAGGGGAAGCCTATGACCAGGAGTGGGCTACAAAGAGATGTTGAAAGATGGGGAAGAAGAAGAAAAAGGTTTTTATGTTAACTTTTTTGTAAAAAATAGCTCCTGGCGATTATGACTGGTTCTTCCGGAAGTGTTATTCAACTTTCTTGAATTTCAGTTCTATACGCCATCCACGATTTAAAGTTTTATTTCTAATTCAAATATGACATTCTAAGTGGCCGGACGCTAATTAGCATATAAGTACGCTCGTCAAAATTAAATTCAGTTTAGTCAATCAAGTAATCTGTCTTACCGGCCGTTTTAATAAAATTTAGATAAATGTGTGGAAACTGAATAAAAATCTTTAAATTATACACTAACTCTATGCAAACACTAGCAGGAAATCTGATCAATCTCATAGAATTAACTGATTTGGCGTTAAAGCTACTATTCTATTAGTTGGGGACCGAAAATTGGCTTCGATTTCTTGAGTTCATCATATCGTAGGCGCGCTTAATGGGATTAAGGGTTAGGTTACTCCTTGAGCAGCCAATTTTATTTACTACATTTACTGACATCTTCTAAGTACTGAGTAACAATTATTTCAAAGCGAGAACTACAATTTTTTAGCACGAACCCAAAATTAATTGGAACTGATTCTCACCATTCGACAGAACAAATCAGAGAAAGATCAATTTGCTTCAAATTAAAAATTCTACATTAATAAAACAGCTTTTCAAATCGCTTTAGATAATTGACATCGGACGAAAAAGAAACAATTCAATCTGCTTATTTGCTGTCGATCGTTCAAACACACATATAACATTTCCAATAACGAGTAACATTCAGATTTTGGAATGCGCCCAGCTCCTTTCTATGGATTAGACTTTTCGAGTTTATTTACCAAATATTTAATGACTAAATAATAAACTTTAATCGCAAACCGTATAGCGTCTACAGGAATTAAATATAAATGTACCTATAGAGAAAATTTCCTTCACTGTGTACGGAAGCTAATTATCATTTCCATAGCCGATCTTTTTAACTATTACCTATTAAGTAGAAGGCAGTAATATAAATAAAACATAAATTTTTCATAGGCGCAACGCCCATTATTGGGCACAAAACAACCTACGGGAAAAAAGAATACGTGGTGCGGAATTTTTGGAACACGAATATTGGACCTTTTATCATTATCACCAGACTTTGACAGCGGAACGTTACCTCCTACCTAAGAAAGTTTAGATATTATTCTACTAGAAAATGTATAAAATTGCTGGTTTTAACAAGACGGAGATTCTGAACATAATGTCAGACAAGTTCGAGAGTACCTGGCTCAACAGTTTCGAGGAAGATCGATCGGAACTTATGGTAACGTTTCCTGGCCAGGACGATTGCCAGATTTGACCCCACTCGACTTCTTCTTTTCGACATTAAAAACCACGTTTACGTTCACCATTTGACACTGAAGATCAACTTTTGAGGATAGATACCGATGCATTTAATTCCTTAACTCTCAAACAAATATCCGGGGTTGCAGATTCAACGGTTAGAAGAGAGTACTTATGTTTAGAAAATAATAATGGTTACCTGTTTGAAGATTTATTATAAAGTTTTTTGTTTTTTTTTTTGGGTTTTAGTAGATTCATTTTATTTAAATTACAATTTTTGTATAACTTTTTCTTCATTGAAAGTTTTATTCTGGTTTTAGTAACTTTAGTAAATTCCACTTCCAAAGTTGAAAGCTACTCGTCTAAAATTATAGTTAAGATTAAACGTGTAATATGAAAAATATATTTGTTGCTAGAGTCTCACAGACGCAATTGATTATTTTGCATATTTTCTGAGCTATGTTATGTTAATTACGGATCTTAAGCGTAAGGTAGCCTTGAATTAAAAAAATTATCTATCTGCATGCGTTCGATGCAAATGCCAGATAAAAACATTACATAAGACAAAATAAAATCTAATAATTGGAACATACAATCAACTCCCAAGGTGCTCTCAATCTCAATTTTAAGACATCATTTTCCGATGCAAGAAAGTTTGACTTCATAAAACTAATTTTAAATTCTAAAGATTCAACTCGTTACATTAGATATTACATAACTTTCAATAAACCTTATCAAACCCCTAGTACAAGAAAATTATTACGAAAGCCCAAATCAGTAGATTTTATTTCTATAATTGAAGCTAAACCAACTGTTGAACAGAAATAATACATGTTTTAGATGAGTAGTACACACATAGCGACTTTCTAAATTGTTTCAGTTGATCGTGAATTGCATTGCTCGAAACTGTATGATACGTTTATATAACTGTTTAAAATGGTTCAAAATATTTGAACAGCGGAAGTTTTAACATTTTTATCTTTATTGATCGCGACTAAGAAGTTCCTTTCAGAGCAATTCACCTAGCGGTAAATTTGCTTTCGATTCGAGTTTTCATGCAAATAATCAATGGTGCGGTTTCACTTAATTAAATCGTTGATCCAGTTTCTCGTTCAATTCGTTTGCTACGCAGATTTTCTCTTTGAGGGCACGATCGCATTAATCGCAATAAAACGCATAGAAACGCTTCCATTACTGAATCTGATATTTAAATGTTTGTCGCAAAATCTGAATAAAGTGCATCAAACAAATACGAAACGCTGCTGTATTCAATTTTGTAAACTGCGAAATAGTGTAGTGCGCATTCAAAAAGTCGTCTGGCACTTTATATACATTTAAAATTACTCTATTTGAATATTAGAACAAACATTTCTATACCGTTCATGCATTGGCATGTTAATAGTATAATTTTACTTCTGTTTAGACTTGGTTTCGCCCACCATCAAAATGAATATGGAAATAAAACAAACAGGCATTCTACAAGACTGTAAAATGATGAGTTAAAAGAACGGAAACCAATTGACAATTTCAAATCCCAAATTCTGGGATTCAATTCTTTGATTATATAGTTATTATTCGTCTACAACACTATTAACATAATTATGTGGCAGCGGATAATTAGTAAGATTTGCTGTAGGAAATATGTCTTATTTAGGCAACATTTGAAGCAATGTAGTTTAGATCAATACGTAAAGTGAAAAATTGTTGTCCTGGTTCCTCTGTTTTCTTTTTCCATTTGGAACCACAAATGAAGAATAATAGCAGATGTAAGTTTGAAGTAAACTACATGACTAAACTCAAAGATATGCAATAAAAATGTTTTTCGTGATATCTAATAAAATGTGATTTGAAAAAGCAGGAATAAATGCAGGAATGAACGCAAGATGCACGAATCTTATTGAATGCAACAAATAACATTTAATCAAATGCAAATCTACTAAACTGAATAAATTGATTGATATTATATAATATGATATATATGATATATATATACAACAGACCGGTTGGCCCAATTGAAGCAGCGTAAATATGACAATGCAGATTTTCGATGATGTTGCAGTTTTTAAAAGAATTACTGATTTTAAGAAAGATTAAATTTTAAAAAAATCAATAGTAAACCTCATATTAAAACATGTGTTTTTATTTTCACCTGCTTAGACTAAAACTAATTGTTTTGTAAATTAAACAATGCATAACCACTCAAGCAGCCTTAGACTTTATTTCCATTGCCATAATCGCTAGAATTTCCCTTATTGAAGTAAACGTTAATTTCTCCGAAGAACTTGCTATCCAACTATATCAGAATTTCCTCAAAACAAGCGGAAAAATTATGCAAGAAAATTTCATTTTATCTAAAAAAAATAGAGTTCAACTTCATATAACTTCAGCATCATAAAGTTTAAAGTAAAGTTTAAAAATGTATTTTATTGAATATATTTCAAAAAAGCCTTTTTTTATCGCAATAGATTGCTGTGGAACAAGAAAGTGGATTTTCACGACTACAATTGAATCAAGGATACCTTAAAAAAAACTGTTAATAATTATAACTAAGTAAGCATAATTCGTATAACTTGAGTGATCAAGTACTTAATATTTAAAAATTAAAATAATATGTAAAACATTTTTAAAAGCTATGGAGACTATAAATTTATTTTACCGCATATGCATGAACACAAACCACAATAATATTGCATTGTTATTTTGATTATCTAAATACTTAATAGTGACTTTTTGTTATAGGTAATTAACATTTTAATTGATTTTAGAACTTAACAAATCATGAAGTTTTTAACCATGAAAACTGTTTAGAAGCAATTTGTCAGTTGCTATAGAAACAGTACTAGTTTTCAGGTAAACATGTTGGACATAAAGTGTCATTGATACATTGCAAAATATTGTTCAAATGTTACTTTCGGTTGGGCGAGACGAAACCAGTAAGCCTTTAGTGTGTGTTATAAAAAAATTTCAAGTTCTGACTCTATTTTATTTTAAATTAACTGCGTATGCAAAGATAATTTCAGGCTTCCGGAGTTAAAAAAGATTTATGGAAAATATGTCAAACTTGAAAAGAACCTCTGAAGCTATTTTTGTATTGGAAGAAAATAAACACAATCCCAATTAAACTTGAAGCAAATGACGAATAGAACAGGGAGATTTCTGAATGTTTATTATAGTTGTGGAAAAATAATAGGAATACGTTGTAGCCCTAGTAGGTGCCCTCAGTTTCCATGGCAATAACGCAACATAAACACAAACAGTCTGTCTAAATCGTTTTCGATTTTCATTACTCACACGCATTAACGTAATTACCCGCACACAGAGGCAAATTGCTTGTTTAAATCGCATAAAATATAGGGAGATAATCGTAACATGTTCTCCAGTTATCGAGCTATGTGAAACGCCAGCAGCAAAAAGCAGGTAATGAGGGGTGTGACAACAAACCTCTTCCTCTCCATTGTTGGTGTTTACAGAATCCATGCTTTTGCTTAGGGCAACGCTGAGGGGTGCTTCCATATCCTGTTCTTGGACGCCCTCGTGCTTGGCCCTCTTAAGGGACGGTGGCGGCGTGGCGGAGGTGGATGCGGCAGGAACCCGCGAATCTCCCACTGCGGGTGGATGCCTGCCTCTCTTTGGGGCGCTCAAGACCTCCACTTTTAACTGGCGATGGCCAAAAGGACTTAACAGGCAATCACAAAAACACAATTCGCGCGCGGGGCAAGTGGCCGCCGGACACGCTCTCTCTTTCTTACTATCGTGAACTAACGAGAAAATATCGAGGGCCGTGCGGAACTCAACTGAGACGGCGTCTGTGCCGTCGGTGAGCTGTCGGAGCGGCGGCGGGACGTGGGGGTGGGGCGCTCAGGTGAGAGCGTGAGTGGGTAAATCGCAGTGGCTAAATCGTGCTGCTATGGCGGCCGGTGCTTGCCTCGGACTGCGACGCCATCCGCCGTCGCGACGTCGCCGCCAGGTAAACGCGCGCAACCAGGTGGGGCCCAGGACCGGAGCCCATTGCAACCCCCTACACCCTAACCTGGATATTGCCGAGAGACTCCTACCCCCAATTACTATTTCATATGTATAGGCTACCGTCCCTCAACTTCGTGGCTTTTATTAATATTTTAAATTGCTGGGAACGGAACACTGGCGCCAGCAAGCAGGTGTACAGGACGGGGGCGAGTTGTACGTTTTACCACAGGCCCACAAGTTCGTAATTGAATTATTTCATTTGAACATATTATAAAACCAACTACAGGGTTATCACTAATATTAACTTAACTATTGCAGATGTTTAAGATAAGTTTTATATTGTTGAGGCAAATTCATTTTTTACAAACTGCTTTTTGGGTATTTCGCCTCAAAAATGTTTGTCGTTAAGAAGGACATAATTTCCTCACGTCTTTTATTACAGATTGATAAATAGTGCTCCTATTTCTCAATAAGAACGAATTATTTATCAAAAAGTAATCAAGAACTATCACCTAGAGTGTATCCTACGACACACTTAGGCTCAAGCTGTAAGAGAATATTCCAATTAGTAAAGAAATTAAGTTGAAAAATTACCTTGACGTTTTGATAGTTATTTTTGCTATCGTTATCAAAAGAACCTAAATGAACCTAAAAAAAAGAGTATGTCAATAAATTGTGTAACAATATTAGGATAATACAGTATGTAAAAATTTGCTTTGATAATTCGTCTGTGCGAATTGTCAGTCATGTGATTTTGACTTAATCTCATTGTTTAAACTAATAAAGATAATGTTAATTATTAATTATGGTGTCAATTTATTTTGGGTGTATGTTTCTCTGGTCTACTTCAGATTTTAGCATAGGTAACCATGTATGACTTAAATTAAATGTACATGAAGCGACACAATTATTTTGATTTAGTAAAATTAGTGCGCTTTCTTTAATTCAACGTTTTTTTGTAGACGGTTCTTTGGTGAGATTGTAGAATTATTTCATTGAATTTTGTGGCAATTATTAAATGCATGTTGACAAATATATGATTTATCATATTCTCTATTTTTTTTATGGATGATGGGTGTTCTTTCATTCGTTTGTGTAATGATCTTGAGGTTTCTTCTATATAAAATTTATTGCATTCCCAAGAAATTTCATAAATTACATTTCTTGTATTTTCAATTTTTTCATGAGATTTTATTACTGAAATTTTGATTCTAATTATCGTTTTCAGTTTTCAAGATAGTCCTAATATTATATTTTTTACCTACTCGTTTAATTTGATATGAGTCCTGGAATAAATTGAATCAAAAGGTTTGTAATAGGTTTATTTTGATTTTATTTTGTTTGTGGGAATCCAATTTCATTCAAACATTTTTCAATAAATGAATTTGGATAATTATCGAAATTTAAAATTTCTTTTATAAATTGTTATTCTTTGAAAAAATTGGATTGATTACAAATCATTTTTGCAGATAGAATTTTTGCAAAATATTTATCATATAAACTTTTCATGATACCTTTTTTACCATTATCGGGTGATTTGAGTGAATTTGGTGATTTTCTTCTTTTTTAATAGTGAATTTAATTGTTGGTTCTTTATTATTCAGATAAGATAAAAATTCATCAACTTTTTCTTTGCCATGACTGTAAATGGAGAATACGTCATCAATATAACGCCACCAAATTATTGGTTTAAATTTGTAATTATTAATGAAAGTTGATTCAAAATTTT